TGAATAGAAAATTTTATTGACTTGTATATTGATTTGTTAATAAGCAATAAACTTACAAACAGAAAATTTAAAGTGAACGAGCAGAGAAGTAATATTTAATAGAGAATTTTAATAATGATAATGTGTACATTATTTTATATATAAACCATATACTTACCCACTAGTAATTTAAAGCGAACAAACGAAGAAGTAATATTAAATAAGGAATTCTATTGATGATAAAATGTGTTACATTATTTTATGAATAAACTATATACTTACGTTCTAATAATTTAATGAAAAAAAGTAATTATAATAGAAAATTTTATTGACATGAATATTATTTTATATATAAACCACATACTTACTCACTAATAATTTAAAGCGAAAGAACGGAGAATATTTAATAAGAAATTCTATTGATGGTAAAATGTGTTGTATTATTTTATATATATACTTACGTTCTAGTATTTTAAAATAAAAAAAATAATTTTAATAGAAAATTTTATTGACATGTATATTATTTTATGTATAAACTATACCCACTTACTAGTAATTTAAAGTGAAAGAAGTAATATTTAGTAGAGAATTATATTGATGATAAAGTATTGCATTATTTTACGAATAAAATATATACTTACTCACTAGTAATTTAAAGCGAAAGAATGGAGAAGAAATCTTTAATAAGAATTCCATTGATAATAAAATGTGTATATTATTTTATGAATAAACTATATACTTATTTCCTGGTAATTTAAAGTGAACGAACAGAGAAGTATTTAATAGAGAATTATATTGACGATAAAGTGTTACATTATTTTATGAATAAACTATATACTTACTTCCTAGTAATTTAAAGAGAAAGAATGGAGAAGTAATATTTAATAGAGAATTCGATTGATGATAAAATATGCATATTGTCTTGCTTTATGCAGTACTATTGAGGAAGTGGCGAAATAACATTAATAATGGCAAGAGTTATCATCGTTATTACATAAGTCTATAACAGGGCTTAAATTACTATAGTAATTTGCCGGCCTGCAGCTTATTGTTTGAAATGTTTTTCTTGATTCATTAAAATTAATGTATTATACATCTTATTATTTACTATATCAGCCAATTAATTTCTAATATAATATAGATCAAGAATGATACTTTTGAATGATCGGCATTTCAATATGGTCGTTTAAGCCCTGGTCTGTAAGTATTCTAAATTTGGTATATTCACTTTAATGAATCTAATATAGTATGTACTAGTAATGCAATAAAATCGTCCCAATGATCACCGTAACTAGTTATAGCTTAAGCCATAACATTATTGGGACGATTCTACTGCATCACTAGTATGTACGTACGTACATTATGATTTTTTGAATGAAATCGCCAACCATTTCAGTAAATTTATATTTGTATGCACATATGTACGTTAAAGCATGATCACTATTTTTGTTAAAAGGCATTTTGTTATAGGCAAGTGCCTAATATGATTTCAGAAGTTTTTTTTTTATTGTCTAAGCAATGAAAAATTTCTGAGATCGCGTAAGTCTTACACTCTAACCTTTGATATAAATCAGAATAATTGAGCAATTGTGTTTTTATTATTAATTAAAGTTCATCAACTATGATGATCTTTTAAAATATTAATCTTAACAAATCGCGCATTCGCTATAAATTGATAGTGTATACAATAACACAATCGATTTTATTAAGGCCAGTATTTTTACATAAAAACATTAATATTCAGATTTGCTAATTTTATATGATTAATCCTTAAACAACATCTGCTCATAGCTAATTGATTTAATACATTTAATTAAAATGCCACCTAGACGTCGCATTCTAAAGAAACAAATGCTTAAATGATCCAATCTTCAATATTGGCAACAGCACAATATTCAAAATAGACAAAATATAGAAGAAAAGAGGGTGGTGTCCAATGGAGTGCCAGAAGAAACCGCATTTGAAAAAGGTTTGGTAGCACTTTTTAAAAAAGACCAGACGCCAAAAGCACCCGATGTTTTAGAACCAGAGTTAATTGACATTACGGAACCAGAAAATTGAGATTCAGATTATTGGGAAAATCAAATAAAAAGTTGATATTTTTGTAAAGCATACCATGTTTTGTGAAATAATATTACCCCTTAGCATAATATCTTTGCTTCTTTTTTCGGTAGTCTTGTTGTAAAAGATCCGTTATAATATATGGTTTATAATGTAAAGAAATTGTAAAATATCTGAGTATTAATTAAAAAATAGTTTATCTATTGACTACATTATTTCAATTCCAGTACCTGCCTTAGAGCTCACAAACATCTCTCTCAGTGCAATTAGCTAGCTATAGAGATCATGCACAAAGTACTACGATTAATTGAAATAAACCTTATAGTAATTTTGTTGAAAATTCACGATGCAAAATGTGAATATTAAGTTTTAGCCAATCAGCACAACTCTATGATAAAAAGAATGGTCTCTGACTATCTTTTTTTTTCATCGCGGTAATAAACTAGCTTGACTAAATAATTTATTTTCCACTAATTAAAAATTGAACTCAGACCTATTGATTTAGATGCTTGAGAGCACCCTTAGTAGAGTACCTACTTCTATTATAGTACCCTTCTTAGTATTATAACAGAAGTATTAAAGTTAGTTTTAATAGTTAGACTCTAGATGTTTATGACTAAATTCATCAAATACTGTCACATAACTTACGAATAATGCTAAGACTTTCCTTATTTCTTTTGGACTTGGCTGAAGACAGTGTACTACTATTAGTTTCAGCTTTAGAATTCGAAACCAATACGTTTTGAATTTAAGTGAAACTCTATATTAATAAGACTCGAGTCCTTTCTTACATCTGAGAACTGCTGAGTATCATTAGAATCGGATGTTACGATCTCATTGGATATGTCTTTTCTTGCCTTGTCCTTGGTGGTAATAAAGTCACAGCCAAAGAAAATGAATTAAAAGTTCCGATTTTGTTTGGTCTAATTGATTTTATAAATGTTAGTGATGTTAGTGAAATTGAAATAAAAATTTTTTACTTATTTTATTATTGATCATGATTATCACTATCTTATATGCATATCAATTTTTAGTTAAGAATCGTTTTTTTCATGAAAAAGAGATTTTTTCCTAAGTAAATCTGACTTTACTTACTAAGTAAAGTTGTTCAACATACCATCTTTTGCTTATTCTCAAATTTTAGTGAAATTCGAATGACTTTTTCTAATAGCTTTTTTCATTATACGTTTTGGCACAATAAATCAATTTCTTGTATTGGAGTGTATAACAAAAAAACTTGTTAATAAAAGGTTATTCGAATTGCACCAAAATTTGAGAATAAGTAAAATATGGTATATTGAACAACTTTACTTAGTAAGTAAAGTTAGGTTTACTTAAAAAAAAACCTGTTTTCTTGTAATATGTTTAATTCGTCAAAATACCCACATTCGTCATAATACCCACATTTACCTTATACTTATCTGAATTTTCCTTCGAGACTTTGTTTTTGAATTTGACTTGTAACTTTAATAAACCCTTTTGAGACTCAATTCGATGGACTGAATTGATTTGTAACTTCGATTTGACTTATTAAGACTCAGATTCTAGAACGGTTGTGGAATCAGATATTGCTATTCACAGTAGTGACTTCGAGAATTGTAGTATAGAACAATACTTACGATTGGTTATTTGACCCTGCTAATTACTCATGTGGACTTAAATATATCCCCAACATCACTTGGTCATCGTCCGCTTTTATCTCATCGCCCTTATTGAGATATCTCTAACAGCATCACCTATAGTCGCATCACCCCATTATCACCTCCTTTAATATTAAATCCTTCGCTTCATAGTATCATACTGTCTAATAGACCCCCAACAGTATAAACGACTCCCTTCGTGTCTCCAAGTTTATCATTATCTCACCGTACACCATTGGGGTTAAATTGGCCTTCATTCCACATAATTCTATTAAGCTCTTCTAACAACAGTTACAATATATCATCCATATTATCAATATTTATATGTTATAATATCAAATCAATTTTAGTTTATTTGTA